CTTCCTTCTGCTTCTCCTCCTTCTCCCCCTTCTTCCTTCCTCCTCCTCTTTCCCTTCCTCCTCCTCCTCCTCCTATTCCTCCCTTCCCCTTCCTCCTCCTCCTTTCTTCCCTCCTTCTCCCTCCCTCCCCCCTTCCCCTTCCCCTTCCTTTTCCCTTCTTCCTCCCCCTTCCCCTCCCCTTCTCCCCATCTTTCTCCCCCTCCCCCCCTTACCTAACACGCCTTCGTCACGGCGTCACCAGATTACCACACCAGCGCTTAAATTGGCGGATAAGTCGCGCTGGTCTTTCACATAAAGTTTGTTAATTAGCTCTTAGGCGAGTCCAGGCTGAGAACTCCCCCCCCCCCTCCATTCCCTTCCCTACTCTCTCCACTCTTTACCCCGTAATCTCTCTTTCCCTCCCCCCCCTCTTCCTTTACCTCCTCTCTCTCTCTCTTACATTCCTTCCTTCTCCTCTATCCCTTCCTCCTTCCCTTCTTTTATCTCTTACTCTCCATCCCTTTCCCCTTTCTCTCCCTACCATTCCTTCTACTTCTCTCTGTTCCATATCCATTTCCTCCTTCCCCTTTCCCCCTTTTCCCCCTTTCCCCCTTTCCGTTTCCCTCCCCATTTCCCCTACCCCTCCCCCCTTTCCCAACTTCCCTCCACGTCCCCCCTCCCCCTGTTTCCTTGTCCCTTATTTATTTTCAATTTTTTCATCATTATCAGTTTTCTTTTCACGTTTTTTTTTTTGTTTTTTTTTTTGCGTTTCTTATCCTCCTTATCTTTATATGTTTTACATATAAAAAAAAATCATCTCTTTTTCATCTTCCCTTCCATCGTCAAGCCTTCCCTCTCCTCCCTCCTTCTTCTCTTTCTCCCTGCCCTCCCTCTTTTTCTCTTTCCTCCCTCCCTCCCTCTCCTTCTTCCCTCCATCCCCCTCCACCCACCTCCCTCCCTCCCTCCCTCCCTCCCTCCCTCCCTCCCTGCTGCAAAGCCTCATTATTTCCCTTATCGCATTGCCCCCCTCCCCCCTCCCTCTCCTCCCCTCCCCCCCCCCCCCCCAAATCTTCGCCGTCTGCGTCTATTCCGTGTTTTACAACCTCGTAAGGAGCGGCGGGACCAGGCTACGTCTCTGGGCCCTCGTGGGGGGGGGGGGGGGGGTGCCCGCTGGCCCGCCGCCGCCGCCGTTACGTGTTACTTTCTTTCTTCTTTCTTCTGTGGTTTGTTGTTCTTAAATTTCTTCCTTAGCTTTCTCTTCTTCCTGTTTATCTTTCTCTTTCTCCACCTCCTCCATCTTCTTCTTCTTCTTCTTTTTCTTCTTCTTCTCCTCTTCCTCCTCCTCCTCCTCCTCTTCCTCCTCCTCCTCCTCCTCCTCCTCCTCCACTTCCCTCCTCCTCCTCTCCCTCCTCCACCTCCACCTCCCTCCTCCACCTCCACCTCCCTCCTCCTCCTCCACTTCCCTCCTCCTCCTCCACCTCCCTCCTCCTCCACCTCCTCCTTATATTTGCCTTTGGATATGTGTTTTAAAATTCCCGTTTTCTATTTCTTTCTAAAGATAGAATAAAAAGGAAAAAAGATATATTTTGTCTAACCGTATTTTAAAATTTCATCTTGCTCTCATATTATTTTTTTTTCGTCCTATTTTTCTTTTTTTTTGTATGTGATTAAGTGTTTATGTAGTTGATTGATTGTTATAAAATGCATTTATCGAGGGAAAGGGAAAGTAACAGAAATCGCAAGTCACGTGACAGTGGCCGCTCTCGTTGGGCTGATCAAATTATCTTCGTTTGAAATTCCTTTCTGGTAATTTTTGCCTTTTTGTTTTCTTCAGTTTTCAGTTTCTTTTCCTTTACCTCGCACCAAGTTTATTATCTGTTTTCTCTCTTCCCTTTTATCTGTTCATTTTTTACCTTTTCGTTCTCTCTACGTTTCTCTTTCTCATTCTTTATCTCTTACCAACTTAACCTGTTTTCTGCCTCCGTTTCATATTTTCTCTCTTCCTTTCTCCCTCCCTCTTTCATTCCCTTCCCTTCGCTTCCCTTCACCTGATCGCCCTTGAACCAGCCCCCCCCCCCTGGCCCATCAATACCCCCAACCCCTTCCCCCAACTGCCATCTGAATATTAATGTTTCATTAGGACAAAAAATATTTTACTACTACGATAAATGGTATAAACTAAATTATTATTGTTGTTATTTTATTATTATTATTATTATTATTATTATTATTATTATTATATATATTTTTTTATTATTACTATTGTTATCATCGTTGTCACTCTTATCATCATCACCATCATCACCATCATCGTAATCATTATCATCATCATTATTGCTATTACTACTACTACTATTATTATTATTATTATTATTATTATTATTATTATTATTATTGTTTTCGTAGGGATTGGAGGAACGGTTTGGCAAAACAACGAAATTTGGACGCGTATTTAAGCTTAAAGATTATCGTGTTGATATCCCAAAATGCTTTTTTTTTCTTCTTTTTTCTTTTATTTTATCTTTCCTTTTTTTGTTTGTTATATTTTTTGAACCAGCTTCGTTGGGTACGTTTCCTGAGAGGCGAGAGGAGGGGGAGGGGGAGGGGGAGGGGGGGAGAAGGAGGAGGGAGGAGTTGCCATGGTGTGACCTTGAGCAAGTTGCTAGGGTGCCCTGGAGATGAGAGAGAGGGAGAGTGAGAGTGAGAGATAATGAGAGGATGAGAGAGAGAGAGAGAGAGAGAGAGAGGGAGGATGAGAGAGATAGAGAATGGGAGAGAGATAGAGAATGAGAGAGAGAGAGAGAGAGAGAGAGAGAGAGAGAGAGAGAGAGAGAGAGAGGATGAGAGAGATAGAGAATGGGAGAGAGATAGAGAATGGGAGAGAAATAGAGAATGAGAGAGAGTGAGAGAAGAGAATGAGAGAGAGAGAGAGAGAGAAAATGAGAGTGAGAGAGAGAAAGAGAGAGAGAGAGAGTGAGAGAGAGAAAGAGAGGAGGAGAGAGAGAGAGAGAGAGAGAGAGAGAGAGAGAGAGAGAGAGAGAGAGAGAGAGAGAGAGAGAGAGAGAGAGAGAGAGCGGGGGAAAGAGACAGGAGAGGCTCGAGAGACAAAGAAAGAAGAAAAGAGAAAAAGAGAGACTCACAGGCAAGCAAACAGACAGATACAGAGAGAGGGAGAAGGAGAAGGAAAGAGACAGGAGAGGGAGGGAGGGAGAACGAGAAGGAAAGAGGGGAGGAGAGGGAGAGGGAGAGAATTGAACGAAAATCTCTCTATTTCGGTCCACATCCTTCCTGAACGTCAGTCACCATCATCATTGTTAATTCCTCGTCTATTGTCTCCGCATAGGAAGGTCTATTTCCGTCTGTTTCCAATTCTCTTTTCTTTCATTGTCTTCTTTGTCTACGTCAATCTCATCCTTCAAAAAGAAAGGTATTGCTCGTTTTCCTATAACTGTCTTTCGTTTTGTTTTGGAAGTAAAATAGAGGAGAAAAATGAACGGCGGGAGGGAAAAATGGGAGAAGATCCGGATGGCAACACTGTGCGTAACCTCGGACGACCTTTTCAAGCAAATATTTGTGCCGCTTCGTGGTTGTTTTATTGCCACGTTAAGGGAAAAGAAATAATGAAAGAGAAAATACTGGAGAATGTATTTTGAAAAAAAGAGAGAGAGAAAAGGAAGAAGAATATGACATCCTTGTGTTGCCGTCACGTGAGGATATAAATTGCACGTTGCGTCCGTCTGTGATAACACTGAAATTAATAAGAAAGAAAGAGAGAGAAAGAGGGAGAGAGACAGAGACAGAGACAGAGGGAGAGGGAGAGATAGAGACAAAGAGAGAGAGAGAGAGAGAGAGAGAGAGAGAGAGAGAGAGAGAGAGAGAGAGAGAGAGAGAGAGCAAAAAAACAAACGAAAAACGAAGAAACACACCCAAAGAACGCGAAAGTCAGATAGAAAGAGATTTGAGAGTGAAAAAAAATCCTTGATCACTGTGGCGAAAAGATTAGCCGAGCCGCTCCTTCGCGTCTGCAGGTGAAAGAAAGCCAGAAACGAAGAGAAACCGTAATTACTGGGAAGGGAAGAGGAGAGAGAGAGGGAAGGAGAGATTTCGGGGCCGCGTGTGACTGGCAGCAGAGGATGGGAGGAGAAGAGTTTCTTTATTTTCTCGGGAAACTTTCTCGTCTGAAATGATATTCATAATTTGTTTTTTTTCTGCTTCGTGTAGGTATTATATGCATGTGTTCGCTCATGCACGCACGCGCTCACACACACACACACACACTCACTCACTCACTCACTCACTCACTCACTCACTCACTCACGTATGTATGTGTGTGTGTATATATATATATATAATAGCTGGGTGGCATTTTTAAAATTTCTCTCTGCTGTTGGATGTGAAACTTCTGAAGAAAAAATATTTATTGTAATTAACTTCAAAGGCCGGATGAAGCCCGTTTTTAAATACGATTTCTTTATTCCATTTGACTTACAAAAACCCATTTTTACACTAATAAAACACGCAGAAACGGCGCGGAAATCTACCTTGTGCCGCCCCACCGCAAGGCCGAGATTGGGCTGCCACGATATCGTTATTAGATCTCTGCTCGCGTGAGGCTAAAGGGATTGAATTCAATTTTTCCCTGGGAAGAAATTTTCCCCCTTTTTCGCCCTCCCCCCCCCCCTTCCCTCTCTCTCTCTCTCTCTCTGGGGTCCCTGTTTGGGGTCTCGGCCGGGGGGGGGGGGGGGCTGGGGTCGTCAGTACGTCGGGTGCTTGCTTCGTTATACAGTTGGAGTTTTGTTATTTATGAATAGTGTTCTTCACGTTTTTGTTGTTATTATTATTGTTATTTGTCATTTGATATTATTGATATTATTATAATTTTATTGTTTTATTATCATCAATCATCATCATCATTGCTGTTCCTAGCGCTCGCACAGGTATCTCCCCCACTCTCCCTCCTTCCCCCCCCCCCTCCCTTCGAAGTGCATCCCCAGCCTAACCCCCCTCCCTTCCTCCCCCAGGTCCCGAGGCTCCCCCCGCGGCCCCCCCTACCTGGGCGACGAGGAGGCCAAGTCCTGCTGCGGCCTCATGGTGACGCAGGCCGTGAGCATCCGCTGGTTCATCATCATGATCGCCTTCGTCGGCCTCTGCTGCACCGTCGTCGGCACCGTGCTGGGCGCCGTCAAGACTCAGCAGCACTCCGAGTACGTCACCATCACGCTGCTCATGATCGGTGAGTCACAACGCTAGTCGCCGTTTCTCGTTTGTTTTTTTTTTGTTTTTTGTTTGTGTTTTTGTTGCCTTTAGCGCTCTATTTTCTTGTTCTCTACCTCGCTCCGGTTATCCTATTTTCTCGAATCCCTTTCATCTGTTGATTTTTGCCTTTTTCTTTCTTTTTAGTTTTCTTTCTTATTCTCTGCCTTGCACCTGTTATCCAATCTATTTTCTCTCCTTCCTTTCATCTGTTGATTTTTTGCCTTTTCTTTTTTCGTTTTCTTCGTCTTCTTTTTTGTTTTGTTCTTCGTCGTCGTCTGATTATTTCTTAGTTTTATTCTTAGTCTTCTGTCTTTTTTATTTTTGTTTTGTTTTTATTGACTTTTCTGATTTTCTTTTTCTTGTCTTATTTTCTTGTTTTCCTTTTCTTGTCTTCACTTTCTTCTCCATCTTCTACTTCTTTTCCAGTGATCAGTGTCGGTGTCCGTGGGCGCAGGGCGTTAGTCTTTTGGCTTCTCCGATTAAAGTGAATTAATGTGTTCGTGTGTCTGTCTGCCGTTTTATCTTCCCTTCTTCCTCCCTACCTCCCTCCCTCTTCCTCCTCTTCCTCCTCTTCCTCCTCTTCCTCCTCTTCCTCCTCCCACCTTTCCCCTCCTCCTTTTCTTCCTCCCTCCTCCTTCTCATCCCCCTCCATCTCCCCTTTTCTTTCCTCCTCCTCCTCATTCTCCTTCTCCTTTCCTTCTTTCTTCCTTTCTTTCTTTCTTCTTCATTTGTTTCGTTATTTTTCTTTCTTTCTTTCGTTCATCGTCATTTGTTTCGCTATTTTTCTTTCTTCCTTTCTTTCTTTTTCTCTCTCTTTGTGGGGGTCATTTTGCGGTCGGGAATTTGTGTCTCGAGATGTAAACAGAAGGGAAGAGGGAGGGAGGGAAGGAGGGAAGGGGGGAGGGAAGGAGGCAGGGAAGGAGGCGCTCGCGGGCGTGGTCGTACGGGAGGCGAGACCGTGTCGGGAGGAAGAGGAGGAAGGGCGGGCGGCCAGGAAGGAAGTGGCTCTGAGGAGGGAGGGGAGGGGGGGAGGAATGGGAGGGGAAGGGGAGGGGAAGGGAAGAGGAAGGGAGGGAAGGGAAGAGGAGAGGAGAAGAAGAGGAGAAAGGGGGATGGAGAGGGGAAGGGAGAGGAAGATGAGGGAATGCAGGAAGGGGAGGGGAGAAGAAGAGGAGGAAAAGGGGGGAGGTGAGGGGAAGGGGAAGGGGAGTGGAAAAGGAGGAAGAGGAAGGAGGGGGGGAGGGAGAGATAAGGATGAGAGGGAGTGTAAAGGGAGGATGAGAGGAGGAGGGGAGGAAGAAGAGGAAGGATAGATGGGGATGGGGGGGGGATGCGGAACAGACCGGCCGGAACTACAGTCGCCGCGGTTGTTGTAGTTGATTAAGCAGTCGTTGGCGCGTGACAGGCGATGTCTGTCACGATGGCTGTCTTGCTCGTTTCTTGCATTTTCTCTCTTTTTATTTCCTGTTTCTCTATTCTCTTTTTTTTCTCTTTTCTCTTTCTTGTTTCTTTTCTCTCTTGCTTGTTTCTCTTTTCTCTTTCATTATCTTTTTTTTCTCTATCTTGTTTTTTTTTTTCTATTTTGTCTTTCATTTTTCATTTTTCTCTTTGTTGGTATATCTTTCCAAGGTCTTTTTCTTTTTTCTCTTTAAAGGAATATTTACGGGCGGGAAAATGAAGCGATGGGGAGGGGGTGGGGGTGGGGGGAAGAATGTGGGGAGGGGGGAGGGAGAGGGGTAAGGGGAAGGGGAAAGGGAAAGGGGAAAGGGAGAGTAAGGGGAAGGGGAAAATTCGTGATAGGGGAAGGGGTATGGGTATTGGAAAGGGGAAGGGGTAAGGATATGGGGTAAGGGGGATGGGGGAGAGAGAGGGGTAGGGGGGAAAAGGGGCCTCAAGTACGCAGTGTCGTGGAGCGTGAATCTGGCGGCGCACCTGCCTGCTATGCACGCCTCCCCCTCCCCCCTCTCCCCTCCCCCTTCCCCCCAGCCGCCTCGTGAGCGCAGGATGTCGGGCAAAGGGCACGCCGCTGACCCGTGACGTGTTAAAAGGTCCTTCGCAACATTCGGGTATAAGGAACGGGACGAGGAGGTGGGGGGGGGAGGTGGGGGCGAGGGGTATCCTGCGGCCTTTCTTTTCCCTTTCCCTTTTTCTTTTTCTTTTTCTTTCTCATTCTCTCTCCCTCTCTCTTCTCCCCCCCCCCTTCCCC